CCTCCACATTCACCAACTATACAGTATAAGTCCAACAGTCAATAGTCCACACTGATACTAACTTACTTTGTTTACTCACTCAAGGACTGTGTCTTCTTCTATTAGTGTCTTTACTAGTAGCAGTAGCTCTGCTAGTACTACTGATCCATTTCTTGTATTTATCAGCTAAAGTATTAGCCCTGATGACTCCCAAGGCTTTGATCAGTTCTCCTCTTGTAGCCTTAGGATTGGTGCGGCTTCAACCAGAGGGCGTACATGTGCTGTAGTCTTTGGTGGGTCTCTCTTGTTCTATGGCAGTTAGATCTTTCATATCCAGTTCCAGTAGTACCCCTAGTCTCAGCCACTCTGTACCAACGTCTACGTGAGTTAGTAGCTCATTTAGTGCTGGCTTGTCCTTCATTGTTTCTGTGTACAAGAACACGCCCCCGCACTTCTTAATTGAATTAATGTGTGGGATTATGTTTTAATGTAATGTACAAAGGAATTGAAAAAGAATTTAAAAACATTATTATGATAATTATTAAAAAATAAGCAGCTGCTACTGACGGCCGAGTACTTTAGTTAGCTTAGCCTTTGCTTGACCCAGTTCATCAGGATAGTCCTCTTCACAAAGTTCTTTTAAAGTATCCCAACTGACATCTTTATTGGCATCAAACCACCTCTCAAATACTTTAATAAGATTATCGATTGCTTCATCTGTTGCTTTCAAGTCAGTCACTCTTACACCCAGTCCAATCCCTATCAGTCTGTAATGGTGAGCAGAAGAATGAAATATCTTTGTGACTGTTTTCAAGGTAAGCTCCTTGAGGCCTGAGGATATATGAATATTTAAATTAATGAAAAATACTTGAATGTACAGTTTAGCAACATACCTTTAGCTTCCTGTGGAGAGCCAGTGCTTCCAGTCTCAGATACACTTCTTTGTGGAGGAGTACCTTTAATATTAATACATTAAACTAGTATCAATGAATATTAAGTATTAGTTAAAGCACTGTTGAGAGTAGGTTATGGAAATTATTGCACAAGGGGCGGTCGAGAGGAAAATGTAGCATGAGGCGAAGCTTAGTGCTACATTTTCGTCAAGACCGTCCCGAGTGCAATAATTTCCGTAACCTACGAATCAACAGTGCTTTGATTGGTTTGTAGTGGTGCGTGGGCAGATCAAATGAAATTTCAAAAGTCACACAGGTGGCCAGCACAAGCTAGACGATCAGATCTCATTTATCACTATTATTATTGTTACATGTCTAGTGTATGTAGCTGAGGCTGTTATTTGCCTCTATCAAAGCTTGTGGTTAACAGGAAAGCCCATACATATTATACTGTGCAGTACTATATATTCCACACAGTGCTACATTTTCCTACCATGCGGTTATTGTAGCACTGGCGGTGCCTTTGATCCGCCCACACACCATACTACAAGTAATGAAATACAGTGAGTAGTCATCAGTAGGGCTAGGCAAATTATACTGCCATAATGGGAGCATAATGGGTTTCTTACATAATAATGAAAGATGAGGTTTCGTTTTATTGTTTCATCTGTCCTGCTGCTCTAGCCTTGCCCACTAAAGAGATATATTATTTGTATCTGCTATATTTGGCGTCATTGTGAACTTTTTCTGCCTCGGAAAGATAAGTCAAGCATTTTCAAGACAGAGAATAACTTTTTTTAAAATGATATGTTTATTGTAAGACTCTCCAGCATTTCACAAGAAAGCAGTGTCAGCTTAAAAGTGGAGTTCAAGCAAACACACACAGAGACAGGATGACTACTTTACCCTAGCTTCATGCCTACGTGTGGCTTGGGTTACGGGTAATGAGTATCAGTAATGTAATACCTGAGTCCCTTGATATCTGCCCTCAGCTTCACCTCAAGCAGATATCTCAGTCCTCAGGTATTACATTACTTATACACACACACACACCTCCAGAGGGGCTGGCCAATACATGTACATGTAAAAGATACTCATGGCTTTTTTTGGGTTTTTATACTTCGATGGTAAGAGTATGATTTGAGATGGAGTTAGTTGAACCCAAAACTGGTGAGATATTTTCATGTGGTAACTTTTACCGGACTTCTTCATGACACGCCTCTTTAGCAATCCTTGAGAGAGAGAGGGGGGAGGGTGGAAGAGAAGGATAAACATTATTTAAAATAAAAACATATTTATTATTATTTTTCTAAAAACTCGCACAAAGAGATAGTAAAAATAACAATAACAGAAACAAAAACAACACCTGACGCAATAAGTCAATAATTTTATTTATAAGAATAAGAAAAAGATGTACATGTACATGTACGCAGTAGCAGCAGCAGGAGCAGCAGGTGTATATTAATAGTAGCAGCTGTACTGTGTATTAGTAAAGTACCTTCGTAAAGGATTTCTGTTTTTGCACTATCGAGACAAGCACCTTCTTCAT